GTGACTGCGCGTGTTATAAAGTGTGTGTGTGTGTGTGTGTGTGTGTAACACTGTAACTGCGAGTGTGACCAAGCCGAGGAGAGGACAGTGCAAAGATGGGGCGGGGGACTGTGACATTGTGATAAGATGGGGAAAACAATAGGTAGGGCAGAAAAAAAAAAAAGGTGTTGTATATGACAGTGTAACTGCGTGTGCGACAAAGGGGGTGCGTAGAGGGACTGAGCTGGAGAGTGGTGAGGGAAGAGTGCGAGTGAACTGTCTTGTAACTGAGTCCGACAGACCTAGAGAGTGAGAAGGGACTGAGTGGCAAAGTGGAGGGAGGGGGAGAGGTGTGTGAGTGTGTTTGGTGTGGGTGGAGAAGGAGGGGTGCGAATGTGTGCGTTTGTGAGAGGAGGGAGGGGGTATATGTGTTCATGCGTGTGTGTGTCTCTGTGTGTGTGTGTGTGTGTGTGTGTGTGTGAGTGTGCGCGCGCGCGCACTAAAACTGGGGGTGGGGAATAGGAACTAGACAATAAAGTGTACGTGCGTAAGAGAGATTGGGAGAGTGAAACTGCGAAGTTGAGTGAGACTGAGTAAATAATTGTCTCAAACGCTACCACTGTTACCAACTTCCTCTGGCTCCTTAAACATTTTTTCTTCTTCTTCTTCTCCTTCGTTTTCCCTCCTTACTTTTTTGGACTCCGTCACTCTATATACGTGTATTTTTTTAAAAAAAAATCTTAATACTTATCTTTCCCTTCCCAGCTCTCCAGCTAAACTTAAAAAGTTTGGAAGGCTGAGGGGTATTTTTAGGGGTGAGGTGAGGCGTGTGCGCGCCTGAGCCCACGAGTTGTTCCTTTGATGTGGTGGCTTCCCCCCCACTCCCCTCCCTGAGGTGGGATTCTGCTTTGGAAGTGCACGACTCTAGGGGAGGAGGTGTGTTTGTCCCGTGGGGTTGAGTACATTTCAATACAAAAGGATTCGATAGAGGAGGGAGTAAGAAAAGGGATTGGGGGGATGGGGTGTTGAGGAACCTTTAACAGAATTTTAGAATTTTCACATGAAATCCCCTGCCTCCTCCTGAGGGGTGGTGGTGGAGATTTTGACTGAAATTTGTGGGTTTAATTTATGTAACCATAGAGACAAGCTTCTGACAAATCTTTGACCACATTTATGGAGGCATCTGTGTTAGATAATGTTTGAGCCAGAGATCTAGGAGTGTGTTTATGTCATATGTACAGTTGGTTCAAATTTGGTAGTATTTAGTCTCTTATTTGGTATTTGTGATATTATTTGCCTTCAAAATTGCCATTCCAATTTTCCTGCCACCACAAGGGAATTTCTCAAAGCATAGACAACCCAATACCAGTTAGCAAAAAGTCTGGAGCCTTTGCAGCCCTATTGAATATTCATGTTTTGAAAAACCACAGAAAAACCACAGTAATTCATAGTTTTAAGCAGTTGGGAATGCTCTCAGACATCTTATTTTAAGGTGGAATTGATTAGAATGTGACTAGCTGGGAGAGCTGTTCTGTTTTGACTGGAGGAACGTTGTTATTTTATTGTTGTTGTCGAACCTTCCTCAAGTGGATCACAGCTTCTGGAGATGTCAGAAAATCCTCCTGGGGTTTACTGAACTCCAAAGTCAGTTTCTGTAAAAAAAAAAAAAAAAAAAAAAAGATTGCACCGAGCAGAGTTGAGACTGATGTTTGCAGTGTGAGAGTTGTATTTCTGACCCCTTTTTAACATGTGGGGATATTGACTGTACATCATATCTATTGATTAAGGGGATAAGGTACACTCTCATACTTTGAAGTAAGTGTGAACTAAATTAATGAACTGCTTTCTTTCTCTGAAGGCTGACGCTTACCATAAATGTCGTGTTTCTCCCTGCAAGCCGCTCTGAATGATTTTAGCGTGTTGAGAAGGCGTGACAGGCCAGCCCAGAAGGAGGAAGGGGTGGGGGAAGGAGGGAACTGCGTTTAACAAATAAAAGAGAATTAACTTCATTGCTTTGGTCTCCTTCTATAATGATATTCATTTTAAGGACCTAATATACAGTTGTTTAAATTTGAGGTTTAATTCTAATCAATACCATTACCCTCAAAGGTGGAGGGGGAAAAAGCTTGAAGGAAGACTCCCTTCTATGAATAGTTATTTTATCTTTTTATTCTCCTATCTTCTGGAAGGAAGAGAGGGAGGACTATTAAAAGTTAAATGCTAATTCTGAGAGTAAACAGAGGCGTTAACCACTGTTTCCTCAAAAATGTCAGGAATTAGAAAAACTCAGCATCGTGTGACGACAATTTTTAGCTACCTAATTGTAAGATTATTCATTCGTATAAATTAACTTTAGAATCATGTCATTCTTTCAGTGATAATGAATCATATAACATTGGTGTGGATTTAGTTTCTCTTAGCTTACTGCTTGTGGGTATTTTCAAAGGCTTGTATGTGCAGCTTTCTTCATTAGAAATAATTATTTGTGTGTATGTTCCATTTACTCCCATTATAAACGTGAGGTGTTTATTTTATTTCATAGTAACATTAGCCAAAGGTTTTTTTCCCCCTAATACTACTCCCTTTGTGCCCCCCCCCAAAGAAGTGGTTAGTGTTTGTGTCGTAAGGTATAAGGCATCAGAGTTCAAAAGGAAAAACAAAGAGAATGTTATAACTGACCAAAAATCAAAACCATCCTCACTTCGAATCTAGTTTAAATGAAACTGGTCTTAATGACAGCGCTTTCTCCACTTTATAGCAGTGACCCTACCCTGCTTGAATCTGTCCCACATGAGAGAACAACTGTAGTCTGTGGCAGATTTAACTAACATGGCTAAGCAGTTCAGGGTAGAGTTTATTTTACCTTTTATGATACTGATCATTACTCCTGAATATTATACCATAATAATGTTTAGATATTTGGAGAAAGAAGGGGAATAAAGATAGGAAGGAAGTACAGGCTTTCTATCATCAATTAAAAGTTTCCCCTATGAAACATATGAAGTTTAATGTGCTGGCAGAGAGAGGGGTAGATGGATATTCTGCTGTTTCTTGCAAACCTGTGGGATCCACTATCAATAAAGCTAAAATCTATTAGCATTCTGTATGCATCTGCAGCATAAATTTCATTTGAATTTCAAATTTAATAAACCAGGAGGTTTTTAATCATCCCTGGTTTTATTTGTTTGATATTAACATGCTTATTGACCGGGTCTGGTGACCAGTTTGATCATTACAGGACAGCAAAAAGTTAATTAAAACGACCACAGCCCCTTAATCATATCATCTGTCTCATCCATGTCGCTCTCTTTATTACCGGTGATGATGGATAGTCTCCCAGATTAATTTCTCTGTTTCTTCGATTTGGACAACAGCTTTTGGGACCTAATTTACATCCTGGGAACAACTTGCTCAAGTATATCTAACACCTTGCAGCTACAATATACATCAACATCTCCTTAGATGGAGCGGAGAAAGGGAGCTTTTTTGCAGGCGGGTTTTGAAGACTAATCAATGCTCGGATCTGGAGCTCTTACGCTTACACAACCAAAGAAACAGAAGGTCCTTCCTAAAAGCAAATTAAAGGCCTCGATCCCTGCTTTTCCTTTTAGGGGCGGAGGGGTGGGCGAGTAAAATATGCCTCTGCTGCTTGGTCAGTAGATTAAAATGTGTAGATACAGCGACAAGTAAATAAAGCCATTTGTAACCATTAAATACAATTAGGCATTTATAGTGGAAGACATCAAAGTTATTCAGGCTTTCAAGTGTCCGACAACGCGTCTACACACCAAATACAGTTTTGAACGTAAGCGTGATCGGGTATATATAAAGTGGTTAAAAAAAAAACCACCTAATGGCCGGGAAATACACATGAACTATGGTGCGTACCTCTGCTGGGTACTTATAATCCCGCTCTCAGCTTCTGGGTTTCTGGAGTGTGGATAGGGACACGCAAGAAGACCTGCGTGTGACCGCCGCCCGCCGAGTGAACGATACAAGCGGTGCGTCCCTGGCAGGAGCCTCTCCCAAGATGGGAAGACTGTCCCCAACCCCTGACCACCGCGCTAGGGATATGTCGGCTACTAAATAAGGCATGAAGAGAGACAGCTAGAGAGCTGTGCGCCGCTGCCGGCTGCGGGGAAGAGCGGGCTGAGACAGGTTGAGGGGTTTCCTCGTTGGGAGCTCTCTGGTCAAAGTTACTTTCCTATTGCGGGGAGGGGGGAAACCCTGGCCAGCCCTGGACCTGTGGATTCCTGAGAGGTGCCCCTCTATGGTCCATCCCTGCTTTCGGGTGGCTTTACTAAGTTGCCTAACATTTCCTGGGAAGGGAGGTAATAAAAGCCCCTCGCTGGTGGCAGATTGTTGAGCCGTAGGTGGGAAGGGATCAGTAGGCTAGAGCTCAGAAAGGGCTGTATTTTCCTGATTGGAAAATGGGAACTTCCACACTGAACAATGGCCCCTATTAGTGAGGTTATTGGGTTTCAAACTGTCCAGCCACATTTACAGCCGAGTCCTTACTTTCCTGGTACTGCTTAATTGGATGCATTTGTTGACCACAGGGAAGCAATAGTGACTCTTGATCTACTTGCCTAGGAGCTCCTTGTGAGTGTACAGAACTACCTTGGTGATGCTTAAGAAATGAGAGCGACTATTGCTTTTCTTTTTTTCTTAATTGACTCAATTTTTTTCTTCCATTTCTCCTTAATATTTACTTTTTTTTTTTCTTCTCTGCAACTTAAAGACGTCCAAAAGTTAG